CTTTTTTTTTTTTTTTTTTTTTTTTTGCAGTACCAGGGATCCAACTCAGGACTTTGTGCTTGCAAGGCAGGTGTGGTGTCACTGAGCTACATCCCCAACACTTGCTTGGCACTTTAACAGATAATTTCTGTCCTTTTTGGCAGAACAAAGAGTAGTAGAGAGCTATTTTTAGATCATATATAGAAAAATACAATATGTACATATATACAATAATAGAATGTAATACTGTATTAGAATATAATAATAGAATATATAAAAATATATATGAAAGTTTTATGCTTAATTTGGAGAAAATAGGACAGAAAACTAACACCTGAGCATTTAGAGGGTTAGGGGGCAATCTCTCCCATGAGCACACACAGATCTGCAGACCCAGGGTCTGTCCTCCTGTCGTGGCCCCTTGGGTTCCCTGCTAGGGAACATCCCAAAGAACAGACTCTTCCCCCCGTACCCCCAGCATCCTATTCTAGTAAACAGAGATCGAGGCTGGGGCCTACCCAAGCAGTGTAGGCCTTCATTTACCTTAAGATGTAGGAGGAGGGTACCTAATTAGGCCTCCTCCTCTGCCCACCAGGCTTGCCCCTCTCCTGAGCCACCCTTGCTTGGCTGACTGTGCTTTTCATTCCTTGTCCTTGAACCTAGAGATCTGAGAGCCATCTTAGTTTGTGGTGAACAATAGCATCCTGAAAATGTCTGATCAGAGCCTGGAACATGGTGGATGCTCCATAAATGTTAACATTTGCTTTTATTTTCATTTGAAACTTCAGTTTCAGCCAGTCTTGACTAAATGATTTCTCTGTAAGTAGAGCCTTACCTGGCTTCCTTAGAGTAGTTCATCAAGAGAACCCTGTTTCTGTTTACTCTAGAGGTTTTCTATGGGTTGGGGCTTCCTCTTATCTGCTGGGAAACTTCCTCTGGGTAGAAGATTCTGGAAGCCACAGCTGATCCCATAACAAATATTTCTTGGATGAGAAGGCAAGGCAGAAGAAGACAGACAGGCTGACCCTCAGTTTCGTACTTGTAATTGAAAACATTGGACTTCACTGCTAATGTTCCTGCTAGCTCTAACATTCTGTGTTGCTTTTTGTAAATTTAGCTATGGGGAAAAGAGGAAGTGTTTCTTGGGAATCTAGAAGGAAGGATTTTTGCTTGACTCAAATTCCCTCTCATAATGGAAGAGTGTGGTAGTATTGATAACTTGAAATAGAAAGCAATGTTGAAGCTTTTTTTGGCTTTGTAATTCACTGCAGAGCTTTTCAAAGAAATTGTCTTTGCAATAATGTTGTTCTTAGGTTGAATTTCCTGAGTGTATAGTGTACATCCCCTGGTATTGTGGGCTGCATGGGAAGGTACCCAAAAGGACATAGTTTGTGTGAGCAGGGTAGTTTGTGTGCTTAGGGTGAAATGGTCAGTCACTGTAGATAGATGCCTTTCATGGGTTGTCAGGGCTTGCTTACAGTTTGGGGACAGGTGATGCTGTTCAAGTCCAGGACATGCTTTATGTCTGTTATGCCTGTGTGCTTTTAGGTTATAAGAGATTTTAAAATAATATTCTTGTTCTAAAGAAGCTTTCCAACTTGGAAGGAAAACAGATAAGTTATGATGTGTGGATCCGGCTGGCACGGGATAAGAAAGGTCGACAAAGAAAGTGTGGCAGGGATGTTGAAATGATGAACTTTGAGAGGGTTGGGAAGACATCGCAGAGAGGGGGAGCTGGGGGTTAAGTGGTGAATAGTTTTTCCAGGAGAAAAAAAAAAGGAGTTTTAGACAAAGGAATCAGCATGAGCAAAGGCCAAGAGGCAAGGAAGAGTGTGGTGGGATTTAGCGTTGATGACACATCTGATGCACCTAGAATGGTGTCTATAAGGGTAGGAAGTGGAAGAACCAGATCCAGAGTCGGGTTGGGTGGTTGTAACCTTCCTCGACTGAATGCCATAGCCAGGTCAAACCTGTAGGTGGAAGGAGCCTTTGAAGAGATGCTCTGTACTGGGTCCAAACAGCCTGAGATCTGCTTCCTGTGGTAAAGAGTGGTGGGGTTCATGGCCAAAGGAGCCATCATAGGGTGGCACCATGGACCCAGAGGCTGAGGTTAGATTTGCACTTAAGACTGGGGATGCCGTGCTGCTCTTGAAGGCTGAGAGGCAGGGAATACGAATAGAGCAGGAAATACTCTGGTCCCTCAGACAAACCTGCCTTTCTTTTCCTGCTCAGTTCCCTGAAGGAGCAGCTGCAGAAAACCACTGAGGAGGAAGAAGCTCAGATGAAAGAGGAGGAGGGTCGGAGGCTGGCCTGGCTCCGGGCCCAGGTCCAGTCTAGTGCAGAAGCAGATGAGGAACGAATTAGGTGAGTGCACACTGGGAGCTGTGTAGCCCTTCAGAGGGGACTCCAGAGCCTGTCCCTGTCCTGTTCTTTCTTTCCAGAGCTGAGCAGGAGGCATCCCTGGAGAGGCTAAGAGAAGAGTTTGAGGCTCTACAGAAGGCTGAGAGGGCCAGCCTGGAACAGAAAAGCAGGCGGGCGCTTGAAGAACTCAGGGAAGAGCTGGAGGCCTCGGAGGAGACAGCACGTGTTGCTTTGAAGACCAAGAATGAAGAGGCTTTGTGGCAACTGAGGGAGCAGCTGGAAGGGGAGAGGAAAAAAGTGAGCAAGTCAAATGGGGATCCCAACTGTTCGTCTCTGGGCTGTCTGGGGAGGGACTGAGGCAGAAGAGGAAGGGCACATCTCCAGTGAGTGTCAGGGTGGGGTACCAGGCACAGTGGCGTCATGTGCAAGCAGGCAGGCAGGTCTGGGAAACAAGGGTGACTGGGCCAATTACTCTTTGTAAACCTGACTCAGCTCTTGGCAGGGGCTGGCCCTGGTCTCCTTGGCCTGGCAGAAGATGCAGCAGGTGTCCAGAGGACCTGCAGGATCTGGTATTGTCAATGGCAGGAGCCATCAGAGGCTTGCTGGGGAAATGTCCTGTGGTTTGGGAAGGTTTCACAACTGACAGAATATCAGCCAGACCACAGGACTTGAGATAAGGGCATCTTGTCCCCCTCCCTGATGGGCAACCTCAGTGGCTTTTGGCTCCCTGCTTTCTTCTCCAGTCTTAGAATGAGAGGCCAACATCTTGGAAGGGGCTTTCTTTTCTGTCCTCACCTCTCTCTACAATCTAATGGTTTACTTCAAGGGTAGACACCAATGTGCCAGGCAGGCTGTGCCAAAATTTCTTTTACTTTGGTGAGGAGTGAATGTCACCTGTTAGACACGGAAAAACTGCGGCAAGATGAGGGGGTATCATTGTCTGCAGGTGTTTAGAAAGAGCATGCCATGCTCCAGCCTCCCTGGCTTGGACTTATTCACAGCCACCTCATCCTTTCCATGGCTCTCTCTGAGGCCAGGCATGGGAATGGGACCTGAGGCCTACTGGACTGGCCCTCTGCTCCAGCCTTCATGTTGTCCTGCCAGTCGCAGTCCCTGAGGGACTGAGCTATTTCAAAGGAACAGCAGTGTACTGCGATTTCCCTTAGTCCCTCATCTGGAGGAGGTTGGGGTGGTCTTCCTGACTGTGCCTTTCTATGGTCAGTATCTGGCCAGCGCCCCGGCCCTGCTTCCCTCACAGACCCTTTGCTGCTCCCCAGGCAGTGGCAGTGCTGGAGAGGGAGCACAGTGCTGAGCTGGAGCGGCTCTGTTCCTCGCTGGAGGCCAAGCACCAGGAGGTGAGATGGGGCTGAGGGTGCAGAGCCTGCACACCCCAGGACTCCGTCATGCTGGTCAGCAGAAGAACTCCCTATCCCTGGCCACTAGGGTGCAAGCTTCTCTCTCCTTCCAGGCCCCTGGGATTGGTGTGGGGGTCCTGAGAGTGAGTCTCCATATGGTGGCTCTACTGTGTCCCTGAGCGTCACACTGGCACCTCCTCAGGTGGTCTCCGGTCTCCAGAAGAAGATAGAGGCAGCCCAGCTTCAAGAAAACCTTGGGTGGGCAGAGCAGAGAGTGCACCAGAAGGCTCACCAGGTGATTGAGTATGAGCAGGAGGTAAGAGCTCGTCAGTGTCGCAGGCTGCATGGTAGTCTGCTTGACCGTCCTGGCCTATGTGCCCCCCACTTTGCTTGCATGGCTCAGCAGGGGTTGGCCCTTGGATTCTGTTTCTGCACCTACCTTGCCGCAGGGCCAGGTCCTCCTGTCCCCAGGACCTAGCCCTGCACCTGTGGGGAAGTGGTGTCGGAGAGGTGTGTGTGAGGTATGGGAGTGGTGTGGGCGGGGACGCTGGGAGGTGGCCTGGTGCTGCCCCTCTCAGTCCTGATGCTGCATCCCTGCTGTGCATCCCGCAGCTCAGCAGCATCCTGCGAGAGAAGCGCCAGGAGGTGGAAAGGGAACATGAGAGAAAGCTGGACAAGATGAAGGAGGAGCACTGGCAAGCCATGGCTGAGGCCCAAGAGCGGTATGAAGCCGAGGTAGCTCAGCCGCGTCCTTCACCCCTCCACCCACCTTCCCAGCCGGCTGTGTGTGTAGGAAGCAACCACCTGTGGTCAGGGATTGTGGGGGGTTTTCCTCCCTAGCACCCTCCATGGCAGGCTGCTGCTCTCAGGCAGGCTACACTCTCTAATGAAATAGAAGCTGACATTTTGGGTTTGGCACTGTGTGCCAGGCACTGTGCTAAGCTCTTTACTTTGAGTCCTTGAAACAGCCTTGGGAAGTGTATACTGGCATTATCTCAGTTTTAGAAAGGAGAACACTCAGTCTTGGAGAGTTCAGGTTACTTTCCCAAGATCGCACCATTAATTAGCAAGGGTGCGAGGGTTCCAGCACAGCTGTCCAATTCTGAAGCCCTCAGTTTTAGTCATTCCAGTAATGGGCCACCAGGACTAATGGAAATTTCAGGACACCAAGAAATAAACTGGGAAGAACTGAACAATATTTAGATATTATCGGCCCATCTTTGTCTTTGGCCTTGAGGTGGGAATGTTGGGTTACTTGAGTGATCACTAGCTGGCATGATGTGCCCATATTGGGGGTGAATAGTGGGTGGGGACCTTAGACCACAGCTGGGCTGGTGGGGGAGTTTTAGGCTCCTGTTTCAGTAGCTGGAATCCATACCCCAGATGACAGTCCTCTGGGACAGAGATTATAATCCCATGATGAATTTAGCCTCCTGTCTTTCCAATCCAATTCTGACCTGCCAAGGACTAGTATTCATTGATAAATGAATTTTCTTCCCTTAAAGGGAAGAGGAGAAGTTGTACCCAGTGCCAGAAAGGGCTTTCCTTCATGGTGTCTGGCCAGAGTGTGCTTCGTTTACTGGTGTTAGGGGGCTGGGACTGAGAGCTGGCCTTGGGGGTGCAGGTAGTGACCCCAACCTTACTGACCTGAGGCTGAAGCGGTGGAGGACAGTGATTTGGAAGGTACCAGGAGCCCTGCAGTTTCCTATCCACAGTTCCTCATTCCTTTACAGGAGAGGAAGCATCGGGCCGACCTCCTGGGACGCCTGACTGCAGAGCTGGAGCGGCTTCGGGGGGCCCATGAACGAGAACTGGAGATTGTGAGGCAGGAGCAGGAGCAGCAGCTGGAGGACCTGCGGCGCCGGCACCGGGAGCAGGTTAAGGCTTGGGTGGGGCCCCCTCGTACCTGTCTGTGCAGAGTGGGAAAGTGCTGGGAGTGGAAAGCTGGCTGTAGCAGGATGGGGCCCTGACAGCTTCAAGAGTAGGGGGTCTTTCTCTGCCCTCATTTTGTTTTTTGAGACAGGATCTTGCTGTATATAGTTCAGGCTGGCTTTGAACTCACTGTGTGTCCCAGGCTGGCCCTGGGCTTGTGATCCTCTGCCTCTGGCCTTCAAAGTGCTGGGATTATGGGTGTGCACCACCATACCCAGCTATCTCTCTGCCCATATTGAAGCTTGGGACCTCTTTACTCCTTTGTTTTCTGGGCCAGGGAAAATGCCCAGGATTAGAAGGGAAGGTTAGCCCCATTAGGATGTCTCTGCTTGTCCCTAATGGGAGTCAAGGTATGGTCCGTTCCTGGGAGGCGGCACGGGGACACAGGGAGGAAGCCAGCCTGAGCCCAGTGCAGAGGCTGTAGTGTGGTATGGTGGGTTTTGGAACCCCTTCCTCCCTTAGCTAATGCTTTTCACCCTTTCTACACTTACATCCTCTCTCCGCTATACTACTGGTTAGGAAAGGAAATTCCAAGACTTAGAGGTGGAACTTAAAACCAAAACCAAGGATGTCAAGGCCAGAATGGCTCAGCTGGATGTCCAGGTAAGGGGGTTGGAGAGGAGGATAGATCTGCAGGGGCTCTAGAGGGGCCATGAGGTCCCCTTCTCCGGGGGCAATGTGGGGGGGTGGCGGGCCTTACCCCTCATATCTGGGATCTTCGGTCAGCCCAAGGGCTCGTATCCCCCCACCCCCAGGAGGAGACTGTGCGGAAGGAGAAGCAGCAGCTGCTTGATGTACAGAGGCAGGTTGCTCTGGAGAGTGAGGTTGGTCTGCCTCTCTTGTCCTCCCTCCTTTGCTTTTCTTTACCCCTTACAGGTCCCCTTATGTTCACCTGCTGTGTCCTGGGCACTGGGACCCAGCCTGTGTGGGTCCCACTGTGGATCTTGACTCGGGAGTCTCAGGGTGTGGGCCGTGTGGGAGGCTAGGAACATTCAGACCTCTGACCCCAGAGACAGTGGCTTCATAGTCGCTGACTTCCCTGCTCATCTTTTCTGGCTTCCTTACTCTCAAGGGCTGACTGCACCCTGCTTTTTCCCTACTGTGTCTCTGGGTGCTTCTATCTTTCCTTCCACCTCCAGGAAGCTACAGCCACCCATCAGCACCTGGAAGAGGCAAAGAAGGAGCACACCCACATGGTGGAGTCAAACTGGCAGCTCCGAAGGATTCTGGATGAGCTGCAGGCCCACAAGGTGGAGCTGGAGTCCGAAGTGAATCTGCTGCAGGCACAGAGACAGAGGCTGCAGAGACACATCAGGTGGTGTGGGCACCCTGCACCTGGCCACCTGGCCAGCTCCCTCCTTCTTTTCCTCTGGCCACTGCTGCTCTCAGGCCCCGTCTCCTCAGGGCCCAGTTAATGGGGAGAGGTGGAGGGCCCAACTTGGAGGCCAAGCAGAAGGATGTGTTCCTGCTGCATTTTGTAGGGAGTAGCATGTCAAGGCTGTGAAGAGCAGGATCCCTGGTTCTACTGTTTATGTCTCAGGCCTGCCTGGGAACTCTCATGGAAATGGTCTTGACAGTGTGCTGCTTGGCCTGCTTCATGCTGTGACCCCGCCTCACATCCCCACCTCCCTCTCCCTTCCCTACTGCAGCAGCCTGGAGGCTGAAGCTCAGAGGAAGCAGAACATCTTGAAAGAGCTGGCTGTTGAGGAAAACAATTCTTCCACACATTTTGAGCCAGATCTCCACATTGACAACCTGAAGAAATCACTTGGGACAGTGAGCTGGGGCCTGGGTAGGGGGAGCAGCAGGAGGGCGGCCATCAGGAGGGGGCCCTGGCTCTGCTCTGATTGGGACCTGGCCTCTTTTTCTTAGTCCCAGCCTTTGGCCATCTCTACCAGTCAAATGGTACCTGTAGGTGAAGAGTGCCTGGCAGCTGGCAGAGCCATTTCCTTGCCCGCCCATTGGGAGGGGCTTCAGGATCCTTAAGCCTGTAGGGTGTCATCTTTTGCTGCATTCAATGGGTCTTTCCTACCATGTGTTCATAGACCCACACCCAAGAGATATCTTCTTGTTTTTCCCAGAGCAAGGAGGAGACCATCTTGTCCTCGGACAGGTGAGTTTCTGTATCCTGCCTTATTTCAGGTTGAGGGCACCATGAAGGGGTGAGTGAGAGCCTGTGTCACAGAGCTGAAGTGCTAGTGACTACCAGTGGGACTGAGTTCAGGGTGGCCCAGGGATGAAGGAGACTTCTCTGCCACGCCAAGAAGCAGCCCGCTGTGGCCCTTGACGTGGCATGCTGGTGTCTGCTGACCTCTGGTTGAGGATCAGACTGCTGGGAGTGTCCAGCCATCAGCTCGTAGGCTCCAGGCACATTCCTTTGACAATCAGGGTGGAGGGACTATTAGTCCTATGTGCCAGGCACTGTAGGTGTTTAACTGTGGTACCCTGCACACTGCCCAGCTGCCACTCAGCAGCTCCTATGTGTCCTAAGGGTGGGCATTTGCTGAGTAAGTGGCCACGGGTCCCAGAGCAGAGTCCTTAAAAGTCTTCTTTGCTTCTTCACTTCCCTTGCCTACCCATCCTCCTGCAGCGTGCGACACTACCTCTCTGCCGAAGGGGTGGCTGTCCGTAGTGCCAAGGAGTTCCTGGTGCAGCAGACACGCTCCATGAGGAGGCGGCAGACAGCCCTGAAAGCTGCCCAGCAGCACTGGCGCCATGAGCTGGCCAGTGCCCAGGAGGAACCTGATGACCCACTGGGCAGCAGGGTCCTAGAAGATGTGCGCAAGAACCTGGAGGAGGTCAGAGCCTGGAGGAAAACTGCAAACCCTGTATCAGGAGGTCTAGGGGTGCTAGTGGAATCTTTTCCTTAGGCTCTTCTTAGCTGATCATCCTGGGGACTCAAGGGGAAAGGCCACAGGAGCCCTGGGTTCACTCACATTTACATGGCAACACAGCATATGCAAACAAACGCCTTCTCCAGTAGTAAATCACTTGAATGTCACGCCAACTGTATATATAACGTGCAAGGTAGTACAGATTGAAAATCCTTTCAACGCGTAAAGACTATGCAAGTATTCTAGAGTCTGAGAAACCCCCAAATTGGAAGCACTTCTGTTTCCAAGCATTTTGGATAGGAGATACCCTGTATTATTACTCTCATTTTCTAGGTGAAGAGTAGGACTAAGGTTGAAAAAGTTTCAACTCCAGTGCTCTGCTCTTCCACCCTGTATCACTAAAGGCCGGATTTGTAAATGGAAATCTTTTGGATATACTCAACTCACAGACTGAGTTACTTCTCTGGTTGGCCTCTCTGATGGTTTAATTTGTGGTGATAAAGATTGCTAGCTGGTGTACAGATCTTTGTACCTGTTGGGGTCCTGGCAGGGTGGGCTCTCTTGGATCATACCTGGCCTTTGAATTCAGATGGTACAAGAACAGTTGAGGGCGCTTTGCTCTGCGGTCCCTGCGCCTGACTTCCAGGTGTGTGTACAAGCTTTCTCCATTGCCTCCTTACTGCCCTCCTTACTCCCCCAAAGGGTGGTGGTGACTGTGATGGTGACAAAAACTTGGAGCAGTAGCGAGAGCAACAACAACCATTTGAGAATTTACTAGGTGTGGGCGTGGTTTTAAGCATATCATAATACTCTGTCTCACTTAATTCTTTCAACCTGATGAGGATAGTATTTTTCTCAGATGAGTAACCAGACTGAGAGGTAATTTGTTCAAGACTGCTCAGCCAGCACATGATAGAGCCAGGGCTCCTGCATCTCTGTGGTTGATCATTTTTCCTCCCCTTCCTTCCTGGCTGCAGGAAATCAGGCACTTGGGTGAGATAAAGTCAGCCATGCAGAAAGGCCACGACCTGCTGATGCAGAAAGAGGAGAGGTTGAATCAGTTGGAGTCCTCTCTTCAGGAAGAGGTGTCTCCTGTGGCCCCATAGCCTGTTGTGGAGAGCCCTCCCTCTTCTGTCCCCTGGATTGGATTGGGTTCCTTGGTCTTGGGTTAGGGGGAGCTAGGTCCCTAGGACCCAGGATTGGGTGTTGGCTGTGGGCTTTTGGCTGGTGAAAATGGCCATGGCTCTTGATGTTTGTCAAACATGTCTGTGGATTTAGATGGTTGTGAGCAGTCCTGGCGCTGCTTGTGAAGGGTCATAGGGAATGGTCTCTGCCTTTCCCTGTCCCATTTCCTGAAGAGAGATATGACCAGCGTGTGTGAGAGTAGACATGGGTGACAGTTGTCCTTCCTTTCCCTGGGGCCATATACACTGGGCCCTGCATTCCAGGGGCTTGGATGTGGCATCAGCTCAGGTGGAGAAACACTGTAGGGACAGTGTGTAGGAGAGAATAGTGGGGTCCATCCAGTCCTGGTGGTCCTGTTGCCTGCAGATCTGGCAGTAGGGCTCTCAGCCTCACCTCTTCCTGAGGTAGCTTAACGTGGTATGCCTCTCCCAGGTGTGTGGCAGAGCTCGGAGCACCAGAGAAACCGAACACCAAGGCCTCGGTCCCACTCATCCGAAAGGCAGTGAGGTAGAAAGCACGCAGGAAAGGATAGCACTAATGGCCTCAGATGAGGACACTCTGAGAGGGGGCCCTGCCAAGAAGCTGGTGACCTTCGACCTCAGTGATACAGAAGACCTAAGCAGTGAAATATCCTCCATATCCTCCCCCTTACCTTATGGTGAGTGGTAGCAGCAGCAGGGAAGAGAGGGAGGGAGTGGTGAGGTGAAGCCCACAGTGTCTGAAGAGGGACAAACGTTGAGGGCCCAGCCACAGGCCCCTTCCCTCAGCCTGTGGGGTATGTGTCTGGACTAGGTACTTGGAAATGGTGGGGAGGAGTGAAGACCATCTGGGTCTGCAGTACCCAGTGCCAAAAGGGTCACGGTTGTGTTCTTAGTGCTGCTGAGTGTCCCTGTAGCCTTTTCTCTCCTAGGCCTCTGGGGAGGCCATCCACGCTCTGCTACTCTGGCCCGTAGGTGAGTGGAAGGCTCCCCTTTCCTTCCCTCCAGGTCCTGGGCCTCTGTCCCAGGCCCTACACTGTCAGGACCACAGAAGCCCTGCTATCCTCTGTCATGAGGCTGAGGGGCAGCCAGTGGGGGGGCTGTAGCACCAGCTGTGTCTGGAATGTTCCAGATCCTTAAAGTTGGGTCCTTCCCCACCAGCTTCTCCAGCCCTTGAAGCTGGGTCATGCCTCTTTCCTTTCAGTCACCTCAACCCCAAGTCCTGTCTTCTCCAGCAAGATCCATTACCTGAGCAGCTCCCTGCAGCGGATCAGCAGTGAGCTGAATGGTGTCCTTGGTGTGCTGGGCAGCCTCGGCACTCAGCCACCGCCACCGCTCTTTACCTCCTCACCATCCTCCAAGAGCACCTCTGTTCCTGCCTACTCCTCCCTGAACAAGGTCTCAGCCTCATCCCCTGCAGCGTCCATGTCCACCCAGTGGGCCTGGGACCCAAGGCTGGGACCCAGACTCTCCTCCTCTATGGAGCAAACAGTGGATGACTTCCTGCTAGAGAAGTGGCGCAAGTATTTTCCCTGTAAGCCTCCCTCTGGCTCTGGCTGAGCCTTCCTGCCTTCTTCTTCTTACTTCCTTCTACCCTCTTCTACTTTTCCTTTTTGTCTTTTTGTTTTGCCTACCTCTTTCCCCTACCCCCTACTTTGGTGCTTTGGCTTTGTCTGTGGATCCCTGGTGAAGATCTTGCTGCTGGCCCTACAGCTGGAGGCTCTGTTGTCAGGATGGCTTCCATGGAACCTGGCCTGCTAGGAGCCTTTATTCTGGATTCTAGAGTTGAGCAGAATCTAAAAGGTTATCACTGTCTTCGTCATAATGACTACCATCTTGTGCGATCATTATGGGCCAGGCATTACACACACACACACACACACACACACACACACACACAATGTATTTATGTGTGTGTGTATATATGTGTGTGTGTGTGTGTATATGTGTATATATATATATATAAATATGTTTTTCATTTACTCTATATAATCATCTGTGGTGGTAATTATTTATCCTCATTTTACAAATGAGTGAAATGAGACTCAGTGAGCTTAAGTAATATGCTTCAAGGTATCCAGTGAGTGAGTTTTGACCCCAGTCTCAGACATGAGATTCTGCTTATAACTCCTTGATGGTATAGCTTCCCCTTTCCTCTGGGCCTGTTGGCCTTCTTGGCGTCATAGCCATGCCGAGGAAAGTGAGAAGCCAAAAGACATAGTCATTTGCGCAAAAGTATATAAAAAACAAAAATAAAAAAACCCTCTTCTTTCCCAGACCCCAATTTTTTTTTCTCAACTCAAATTGCAGAATAATTTAAGTTTTAGGGATAAAATAGGATGGTTCCTGTCTATCACCTGTCTCTCACCTCCAGCCACTGAAATTTTCCCTGCTTTTGTGTTCATTGTGGGGGTGCTGCCTTCCATCTATTTCTGGGGAGGCAGGAAGTGCTGGTGAGCAGGAAGGGGGCTGCTGGGACCTGGGTCTGGCTCACTTGATGCACTGCTGTCTCTGAACTTTTGCCCTCACTCTTCTAGCTGGCATCCCCTTGCTCAGCAGCTGCCCTGGTCCCCTGAAGAACAGGCTGGGCTATGTGTCTGTCAGGTAAGCCTGCTTGGGTTTGGTGGGACAAACTGCTTGCTGTGCCCCCCTGAGGAGGTAGTACCTCCCGTTGCCCCAGGTGGCCAGGCAGGTCCCCAGTCCATAGAGCTGCCCTTGTCTTGCCTAAGTCTGAAGTACCCCTCCACAGCCAGGGAAAAGTCACATCCTTACTGCTGAGGTTGGGGTGGGGTCGCTGGGGCTGGGCTTGCCTAGCCAACTTCATGAAAAAGCCCATGGAGGGGCCGTGCATCCTGCCCCATCCTATGGAGTTTCTGGCCATGGAATTCGGAATTCGGCCTTTGTCTTTGCTATTAAGTTCTTTCTTTGTCTGCTTCCTATATCTCTCTTCTTCTGAGTCTTGCTGAGCAACATCTGGAGTGAGAGGGACACCCTGTGGGGGTGACAGACAGGCAATTATTTAAACCTGTTATTAATTTCCCATTCATTTTATTCCTTGCCAAATGTGCCCCCCACCCCAAGCTTCAACCATCTCTTTAGGCCAACTTGGGAGCTGAGGCCCAGCAGTATTTAAGCTGACAGAGGGGAGCTTCTTGCTAATGAGATTGCTGGAATAGGCCAGTGTGGGAGCTCAGTGTGGATATCAGTAGCAAACACCCAGGAACAGGTGGAGGGCAGCTATCACCTCCTCTTCAGAAACTGATGCTTGTCTTTTTGGAGGGCCAGCTTTGAGTTGCTCGAGAGATCCTAAAAAACTGCAGCTGGTACAGAGAGGAAGAGGGAGGAGGTGGCATGATGGCCTCCAGTTGGCTCTGTCACACATCCCCCTTCCCAGCACCCGGCCCACTCTTGTCCTCCTTCCACACTCTCCCTCTCCTTCCCCTTTCTAGTGAGCAGCTCCGCCACCTGCAACGGCCCCATTCCCGAGTCCCGGAGGTGGGCAGCACCAGTATCCAGGACATGATTGAAGCTAACCGCAAGTGGCTAGACCATTTCAAGAATGACCCCAAAGTGTATCCTTTTAGTGGGTCCCCACGCCCCAGTCCCCACTTGTTGCAGCTGACTGGTTGAGCTCTGCTGCAGGACCTGTGCTGAGCCTTTGACTCCTTCTTGGCTTCTATCTAGATATGTTAGGAATTTTCCTTCACCTCGTGACCAGACATCTCTTCTCCTCGGCGCCCAGGCCAGCAGCCACTTCAGAGGTGCTGCATCTGGGCCTGGATGAGAACAACAGACTGAATGTGTATCACTGTTGAGCCCCAAGGTGGGCTTGGCAGCTGGCTCCTCCCCAGACCAAGTGCCTGAGCAGCTGCCTGCACTTTATTCCGACAGAGGATGCTCCTGTCCTCTGCTGTGCCCCACGCGGGACTTGGAGGAACCATGAGGGGCTAGAGATGAGTGGAAAGGCTGGGATGATGGAAAGCATTAGCCACACTGTCTGTGACCAAGAACCTGATCTCGGGCTGAAATGCGTGGACTTACCTGAGCTCGTGCGTGGACTTGGCAGCACTGAGGAAGTGTGGCCACTGAGGAGCCTCAGGGACATGGGCACCTTTGGGATGAAGGGTGGCATTCATAGAGCTGCCTTGTAGGTCAAAGAAATCCCTCTGGAGTGGGATTGGTCCCGGGGACCAACAGGGACCTGCTGGGCTTCACCCTGCAGGACAAAGCCTCCCAGTATGTTTGTGCCCTGGGACCTGGCTCTTCTGGGCCAGCATCTATATCTGATACCTCAGCGTTGTTGAGATCACATCCTTTTTTTTTTTCTTTCTTCTTGAATGTCTCCTTTCTGGGGCATTCTACCTTTCCTTTTGACTGTCTCAGGACTGGGCTCAGCTGTGTGCAGAGCCCTGCTGGAAGCTGGAAGCTGGAAGCTGGCCCCAGGACGTTTGGCCTCTTCCCCTCTGCCAGCACTGTGCTTTCCTCAAGGCTGTTGGGAGTGCCCTCCCCACTCCACCCCACCCCTTCCCCGGGGCTCCTCTCAGCTAGTATCTCAGGTCTCACGCCCACTTCTTCCGGAAGCCAGAAGCAACAGGAAAGGATGATGGCTTCTGGCTTTCATCGAAGTTTTTCTCTTCCTGGAATACCTTGGGTGCAATCATGGCCCTGTTTCCGTCTATCTTTTCTACTTGTGCCACCCTTGTCTGATCCCAGAGCTTGGCATGAGGTCTGGGCTAGTGCCTGGCATTGGCATTGAGGGGTCTTGTACCAGGCAGAGCTGCCACTCTGCTGGCACAGCTTCCTGCAGACCCACTGCCCCTGCCCATTCTTAGGTTCCTTATGGGGCTTCCGGGAATGTTCTCAGACATCTGTTCTGTTGTTAAACAAAATGCCCTAGTTTTTAATCTTGAAAGCCATGGGGTTGCCCTTGTTTCCTCAGCCCTTAGAAACCAACTCTCACTGTCCCACCACTCATTTGTTTGACATGGAAAAAGACCTGAAGATCCAGTGGCTTTTTTACCCCTCTCTGATATTTTCTAGGCAGCACACAGAAGAAGTCTTTTGTTGTTTGGCTCAGCCTGTGTGCTTTGGGAATAGCTCATGTGATACGACCAACTCTGGTGACAATCCTGTTTTCTGCATCAATTAAATCTTTGCAGGTACATTTTCTACAAGGCAGTCGTGTGGATGGATCTCCTCTTTGGAGGCTTTGGCCTCCTGAGAAGAAGGGAGGAAGGGAAAATTAATATTTGCAGAACATCTTCCTGAATATCTGATTTAATCACCACAACAATGTAGATACTGATTTAGATATTTTCTGCTCCATTCTTATGGATGAGGGGAAACCAAGGGTCATAGACTGTTAAGTGCTTGGGGCCCAAGTAAAGTATAGAACCCTGCACACTGTCCCTGCTACCCCAGAGCACCCTCACCCACTTTGGGAGGAGTTGATATTCTCTCTCTCTCCTTTGCCTCCTCCTTGCTCCCCTCCCAACCACCTGAAGACCCATAGTGCCATTTCCCAAAGGTCAGTGTTTTCCCCCTCATGCAGGCAAATGAAAGATAAGCCTCCCTTTCCCAGGTCCTAAGCTGGCAGTTAGGTATCCTGTTCTCTGCCCCAGTGGTCTGAGCAACCTATGGAAACTTGTAGTCTTGGATTTGTAGCAACAAAATTGATAGGCTAACCAATTGAGCTGGCCACGATTCATGGATTTGCATACAGAAGACCAGCACCATGACAGTACCTACAAAACACCTCAGCCCAGTATCCATGCCACTTTCAAGGAAGGAAGGAATCTCACATTTGTTGAAAGCCTTCATGGACCAGGTGCTTTGCATGCATATTTTTTGGCTTGTTTTTTTTTAGCCAGGGTCTCCCTATGTAGTTCAGGCTAGACTTGAACTCACTATGTAAGTTCTAGGCTGGCCTCGAACTCACAGGGACCCTTCTGCCTCAGCCTTCCCAATGCTGAGATTACAGACATGCTCCACCACGCCCAGCTTTTGCATGTGTTCTTGCTTGCATACTTCACCTAATGAAGTTGGTGTCCTCATTTTATAAATGAGGAAATTTAGTCTCTGAGAAGTTAAATCACAATAGCTCTAGGTCACACAGCTAGGAGGCCCGGATTTGACTCCAGATCCATGACTCTCAAAGTTGAGTTCTGTTGCTCTTTGTCCCCCATGTCAGCATCTTTCATTTTCCTCCTGCCTTAAAGCTCAGTCTTGGGCAACTTAGTCTGAAGATCTGGGTTCCAGGAAGAGAGTGGCTTCTAGCTGGAGGAGCAAAATCTTCCTGAGGCAAAGTTTTTATTTTTTAAATAAATTTTATTTTATCCCATTTCCCCCTTCAAGCCCCCTCCTCTCCCTATGTACAAAAGCTTTGTTTCCATTTTTTCCTTTCTGTTTTCACTTTTTTTTCTTGTCCCTTCCTTCCTTTCTCCCTCCCTCCTCCCTTGTTCCCCTTCCCATTTGAACACTTTCCATTTCCCACTATCCATTATACATTTCAGTCCTTATTTACACTTTGGGTTTCTCACACCAGAGAAACACTATGGTATTTAAATGTGTGTCCGATTTATTTCACTTAAAAGTATGGTCTCAAGGTCCTTCCATTTAGCTATAAACGTCTAAAGCTCACCCTTCCTTATGGCAGAGGAGTACTCCAGTGTATAAAAAACCCCACATCTTTATCCACTCATTTGTTAATGGGCTTCCTGAGCCAAAGTTTACAAAGGAGGCTTTTCAGAAGACTCCAAAATTGGCCCATTCTTCCTTATGGATTTTAGAATTCAGCCAGGAAACTAAAATTACAGACTTTTGCAAATGAAAAAGGCTGACTTACTTTGTTTGAACTGCTATTAAAAACACCATGGGGGTGGGCCAGGGATTTAGCTCAGTCATGCTGCTGCCTGCCTCGAAAGCACAAGGTCCAGAGTTCAAACCCTGGTACCAAAAAAGCAAAAATATCCCCAAACCAAAAAACATGCACGCACACACCCTGGGGGCAGGGGATGTGGCCCAGTAGTACAGCATGTGCTTAATATGTGTGAGGCCCTGGGTTCCATCCCCAGCACTATCCTCCCCAAATACTATAAACAGTAGCTTTTAAACAGCAGACATTTATTTCTCATGTCTGGAGTCTGGAAGTCAAAGAACAGAGTGCTGTCAAATTTGTCATCTGGCGAGGGTCTGCTTTCTGATTCATACAGTGTATTCTAGCTGTGCCCTCACTTGGAAGGGTAATGATCTCTGGCCTATTATAGTTCTGTGTTTTGTTTGTTTGTTTTTGGTGGTGATGCTGGGGATTGAACCTGGGGCCTCAGGCATGCTGAGCAAACCCTCTATGATTGAGCTACCCCCTTTAGGCCCTTGTATGGGCACTAGTCCCATTTCATGAGGGCCATCTACATGACCTAGTAATTCATTAGAGTCTGGGCTTCATCATATGGATTGGGGAGGGGACACAAACGTTCCATCTACAGCTGCAGCCTTACAAATCTCTCATTCAGTCCACTTGTGTTAACAGTAGAGGCAACAACCTAGCAAGACTGTGAATTGTCCCAAATTAAGTAGTCAGTGTGTGGCAGAGGTGGGTCCGACTGTAAGAGGCCTGACTGCAGCCTGAGGAAAAGTTTTCTCTTTAAAGGATATTTATTTTGAATAGGCCATATGTTCACATATTCAAATGGTATAAAAGTCACTCTGTCCATGAGCCATCTGGTGCTTCTCCTTGAAGGTAACAAATATTACCCGTAACTTCTGGAGATTATATGCAAATAAGAGAAAAGAACACCTTCATTCCTCTTCCCTTTTACTATCGGTGTATGGGTCATTCCTAACACAGCATCATTTGATTTCCCAGAATTCTGTATTTCTGTTATGTTTGCTGACTGACTGTTCTTGTACAGTGTCTGTGTGTCTGTGTGTGGCAGTGGTGCTGGCAGTGGAGCCCATGGCCTCACATGTGCTAGGTGAGTGCTCTTCCAGGTGAGTGCTATATCTCCAACTCTGACTGTTAAGAAATAATATTGGGAATGATGATAGACTCCCACCATCCCCTCACCAACACTTTCACAAAACACAGCTATTTAGGGTGTCTTGGTTACTTTTCTTGTTACTGAGACAAAATACCTGACACGCACAAGTTGAAGAAGGAAAAGTTTATTTTGACTCACAGTTTGTAGGTGTTTGTCTACAATTGGCTGACTCCAAGGCGGGGCAACATGGCAAAGGGACCTGGTACAGGAGAAACAGTTCATGGCATGGCAGGTGTAAGGCAGCAAGCAGCAGGCCTGCCTTCTTTATCACACCCTCACTCCATATTCACACACTCTAACCCAACCGCCTTTGAAACTCCCCACCTATAAATACATGGGGCTTTGGGGGGACATCTAGACACAAGCCATAACATAATGTGTGGGGAAATAACGCTGGCCTTAGTATACACCAGTTTGCTTTTGGTTTTATCACCTACACATTCTGTCACTTTTCTGGTCTCAAGTCTTCCGTGGTCAAACTCTGAATGCACAATCCAGGGATGAAGCAGGTAGTTGCCTCGCATTTGCACCTTGGAGGAGCCTGCCTAGAGTGTGGAGTTGGCCTTGTTGAGAGGAATGCTGGAGAGCCACACTGGGCACGAATGGGAGCGGTGCAAGAAAGCACTACTGGTATCACTTGCAGACTTTTTTGAGGTGGGGTGATGGTTGAAAAATGGAAGACCTGCCATCACTGTGTCTTGGTGAATAAGTGTGCTTTTGGTGTGCTTTTCTCTTGAGTCTCACCAGTGGCTCCTGTCTGCCTCCCCCAGGGAATTTGCCCTGACCAGCAGGTGTATCACACAGAATGCCAAGTGAGGGATGATGCAACACTGTGTCATGATGAGCAGCCCCAAGAGCAGGAAGATAGGACCATCCTTCTCCATTCACCTTAGTTTGAAAATATAAGGAAGCACTCGGGTTTTTAAAAAATTAATTATATTGCCAGGCGTGGTGGCACACTCCTGTAATCCCAGCACTCGGGAGGTTGAGGCAGGAGGATCGCTGTGAGTTCCAGACCAGCCTGGGCTACATAGTGAGTTCCAGGTCAGTCTCAACTGTATAGTGAGACCCTGTCTCAACACCCCCCAAATTAGTTACATTGGTACATTTAAGTTATACAATATAATTACATCACTGGAAATTTGTACCTTTACATAATCCATATTGGTTCTTTATTTTTCCGTTCCCCTGCCTTCCCTTCAACCCCTCCATCCCTCCCTATCTACAAAGACTTTGTTTCCATTTTTTAATTTTCTCATATTAATTCTATTCCCTTCTTTTCTTTCCCCTGTCCCTCTCATTTCCCCCTTCCCCTTTGTCCCTTTTCTTCTTATTTCACATGACTTTTAGTCTGTATTTACACTTTCAGTTTCTCACACTAGAGAAGCTATTCAGTATGTACATATATATATGTGTGTCCTATTTATTTAAGTGTATCACCTCAATGTGCATCCGTTTAGCTATAAATGTCTCTTAATTTCACATTTTTTATGGCTGAGTAGTACGCCATTAAAAATCCACATTTTCTTTATCCAGTCTTCAGTTGATGGGCAATTGAGCTGTTTCCAAGTTTCAAATTGTGCTGCTATGAACATGGGTGCACATATATCACTGTGGTATGATTCTTTTAATTCTTTGGGAAGATACCCAGCAGAGGAATAGCTGGGTCAAATGGGACTTCCAATGCTAAATCTTTGAGGTATTTCCATACTGATTTCCATAGTGGTTGCACCAGTCTACACTCCCACCAGCAGTGAAGCAATGTTCCTTTTCCCCACAGTCCCACCAGCATTTGTTATTGGTTAATTTAATGGTAGCAGCCATTCTTTTTTGGGGTGAGGTGGAATCTCAGCATTGTTTTCATTTGCATCTCTTGATTGACCAGTGATGTTGAATATTTTTTCATATGTTTATTTGATATTTTTGCTTTATCTGAGAAATGTCTGTTCATTTCAGATGCCCATTTGGATTGGGTCTTTACATTTGGGGGGTCTGATTTTTTAAAGTTCTTTATATATTCTAGATAGACCCTGGAACAGCTGGTGAAAATTTTTTCCTACATTGTGGATTGTCTCTTCACACTGTTGGTGGTTTCTCTTGCTGTGCAGAAGCGTTTTAAATAAGACATCCCACTTTTGATTGTTTGTGCTAGTTCATGTGCAACTGAGTCTTTATTTGTAAAATCTTTTCCTATACCAATGTCTTCAAGAGTTTTACCTAACCTCTCTTCCAGCCAGTTTAGTGTTTCTCTTTTAATATTTAGATCTTTAAATCCACTTCAATTTTAGTTTAGTGCATGGTGAGAGATATAGGTCTAGTTTTAATCTTTGACAAGTTGAAATCCAGTTTTTCTAACACCATTTATTAAAGAGGTTATCTTTCCTCCAGTGAAAGTGTTTGGCTTTTTTGTAGAAGATGAGGTAGCTGAGTGTGTCTGGAGTTGTTTCTGCATCTTCTAATTTGTTCCAGTGGTCCTTGGGTTTGTTTCTTTGCCAGTACTATGCTGTTTTAAATCACAGTAGCTTTGTAGTATAGTTTCAAGTTGGGGATTGTGATACCCCATTCCTTCCTTTATTGCCTAGATTGCTTTTGCTCTTCTAGGTCTCTTGTTCCAAATAAATTTTTGGATTGTTTTCTCAAGGTCTGTGCCATATGCTGCTGGAATTTCAAGTGGGATTGCATTGAATCTA